TTTTTTTTGCCATTTTTGCTGCTATGACTTGGATTGTAGTCCGTACATTCCTACAAAAAGCCAAACCTTCTGATGGGCTTGGCCAAACATTTTTGCATCTTAAAAGCTCTAATGTTGAGAAACCTGCATTAGAATAATGTTTATGCTATACCATAGCATTTCAGTTTTCCCAGTGTGTGATAACCTTGCTCACCGCTATCGCCTGTATCCCCAAACCTGAGCTGTTTAACTGGCAGATGTGTCTTGTCAGTCAGGAGACCGCTGTCTTCACGCCATACTGGGTTATCCCAATCACAGTTACAACCATAACTTGGGCTATCACATGAGTTGGTCATCCCGCATGCGCACTTACCACTGCCAGGTGACGCTCCGCCCCAGTAGGTCATCTTACTAGAATCACGTGACACCCACCAGGCATATCCCCCAGACATTGTTGAGCCATGGCACTCGTACTTGATAAACTGTTCACATTGTGACGAGACTCTGGTGAGACCCGCCAGCTGCGAAAGACTCGCTCCTGTGTAATGAATGTCACGTGAGTAACAACCTCCAGATTCACATCCTTTCACTGACATTCTGCTTTCACTGTCGTGACTGATGACTGTCACGCCAACTCCATTTTTGTCATCCATATCGCAGTAAACAGTAAACGGTGCCAGGCCTCTCAGTCCATCTGGATCAATTTTGTAATTTCCGCTTACACTGCTCAGGTATTTTCTGATCACCGAACAGGAACCCTGAAGACCGCACTTAAAGCCATCTCCAATAAAACCATGGTTACACTTGCATGAATATGATCCACGTTCATTTCTACAACTGGCATGCTGATGACAGTCATTTGTATTTCTATCACATTCATTTAGATCTGTTGAACAGACAACATAACCATAGTAACTTTGTGTGCTTTATTTCTTTCTATGTGTAAATTTTAAATGTGATGTTCAAACTCTGTTAGTAAGACGGCGTTCCCGAGTGGTTCAGGGCGCTGGATTTGAAATCTGGAGATCCCTAGTTCAAATCCTCCGCCCTACCGCTATCTGGATTTGTTCTCGGTAGCCCTGAGTTCAACTCCTCGACCGCGTTGTGTAAATAGCCAACTGGTCAGCCTCCCACCAGTTGGGATTCTTAGTAGTTTATGTTATGTTTGAAACATTTGTTTATTTATTTACAGTGTCCCCAGTTAGCACATTAGTGCTAAATACATCGACACTTAAATAAAGTGATTATTATTTTTGTTGTTGCTGCTGTTGTTGCTGTTGTTAAATACATGTACAATTTTGATAAATTTTCAAATTGTTCATGGGCATTCCAAAGCTCCGTAAAGTAATGATCAATTTATGTCCCGTTGGAAGATTTGCTGTTATTTTTAACCCATCTTCCTCCAAAGCACAAAAGATAACAACGTGAAGAAACATCTGCATGATTCGTATTATTTCAAAATCTGCTATTTACTGCTGTTTACGACTTCTAATTTGCTTTAATACGCAATGATTCATATTTTACCTTTCTTACAAGTGTAGGGATGACAATCGCTACACTGCACGTCATTCCATTCATAGCTGTATTCCACACCAAGTGCGTGCACACAATCTTCTCCTCTGAAATTATTTGGTTGATTTTTGGCCCAAGCTGTAAAGTTTCCTTCTCCTCGATCCTCCCAAGTAAAGTTGCCTTCTATGGTTCTATCATTCAAGCCCAGCCAAGATTTGGCGCCATTATGTCGATGCTGTAAATAGACATTCTCTTCATTGCTGCTGACATCAACAAGGACCGAGTCTTCTTGTCGACATTTTTGCACCGCTGTGGTCCAGTTTGTACAACTGACACTTGTAAAGTAGCAGTAGCCATTAAAGTAGCTCCAACCAGGATCACAGATGTCTGAGAAAAAACAAACATTTGTCAGCGCTTTATGTTTAATAAATGGGAAGGGATTATTTCTTATAATTTTTCAACTGGACATGATAAAAAAATATATATATATTCTTACCTGTTACGACGGCATAACTAACTGACACTGGATCATATCTTGTCTCATACAGTTCCTTGACACAAGTTCTGAATCCAGACGTATTCATGTTCTGCAAATATGAAACAAACATCATGCTATGGTCATTAATACTGCTAATAATCATGAAGATGACGATAATGATGGCAAAACTCGACAGCACGACCAGGACGTGTAGTAATTTTGACGGAAGAAAATTTTCTGAATAATGATCTCTTGTTCGTATCACAACATTTAATAAACTGGAAATGGGAAATAAACAAAAACTGAAGTAATTTCTGTCTGATTCGGTAACTACTCTGTGGTAGACACCGATTTAAACACCAAACAGTAGATATGTTACAATGAATTTCTCCTTGAGAGGAAGAATTTCACAAAAGCGTATATTTCGTAACTGGTTGTAAGTAGCAATGCATTGTGTTTTACCTCAATCCATGTTGTGATACCGTTATGAACTGGAGCCAAGTTTCCACTTGCTGTTGTGTTGTGATTGGCTGATATCAGGACTGATGGTGTAATGTTGTAGCTTCGTAAAAACTGCACAAACTATAGAATGAAAAAATAATTGGATCTTTTATTATACAAACTGTTTCTACACCTTATGTGCATTTTATTCTTATCTGTATAAGCATTTTACGCCGCAAATGCGCGCCATATTAGCGACAAGTCATATTGTTAGTACTCATGTTGAAACGTAGAGAACTACTTAAATGCTTAATTCATTTTCATCTAGAATTACATCTAAAGAAAAAATTCACTGTTTTTTAATTAGTTGTTGATTTTTCATGCAGCTGTAAACTTACCTCGCAGAAAGCGTTGTTGTTTTCATTTGTTGGTGGGTTTGTGTTTGGAAACTTGACGGAGCCATGTTCAGTGAAGAGCGGTTTGTGAAGTTTAGAAAACGCCAACCAGTTCTGTAATATAACGAGATTTAGAATGGAAATTAAAACATAATCTTTCAGACGTACCGGGGCAAAAGGTTTCCAGGGAAAGCCGTAAGAAAAGTTGTGTCCAACACCAAAAGAAAGAAACAGACTATTTCTCAAAACTGGTCCTCCATCAAATCTTGTCACCTGAATTACAAAAGAGTTGGGACACCTTGCCTTGAAGAGATTCATTGAAACCGTTCCGAAACAAAATTTGGACGGGGGAGAGGGGCCTGGTTCTGGGTTGTTGTTTTTTAAGGATAGGGTCCTAGCTGTTTCCAAATGGTTGAAGGTGGATAAACAGGTAATATTGACTGAAACATTTGTCGTGTTATTCTGTTTTAAAGTACATACCACACTAATATCTTCATGTTTTCCATCAAAGTTTTACAATTCTCGGAGGCAGACTTTAAATGAGTCCTTGGTGATATCCTCTGTCCAGATCAGCGCGGCATCATACTCCTTACCAGTCCTTAGATGTTCTGCTGTTATGAGTACTTCAGGCTCATCCTTAAACTTATTCTGAAAAGTGCGAGGAGGAAATGTAAAAACAAACTGAAGAACGTAACATCACTTTTTAAAAGTATTCCTGGCAGAAATGGCGCTCTAAACAATCGACCCAGTCACAATGAGATGTACATGTCAAGTTCAACCAAGACGAAGTCGGGAACTTTCACTGAAAAGCTTTTCATAGTGATTTTGAGGCGTGATTGTTATAGTTTGAGTGTGGACCAAGGAAAAATGTTATTACCAATTTTTTTCACAACGACAGAAAAAAATGATGTTCCACGAAAATCTAGATACGGCGCGTGAGAGGGCGAATGATGACTGGGTTTCACTTTAAGTGAAATTTCTCGTTGGAATGTCAAAGTCTGAAAAATCTCCGGTATAGTATGGTATCCATTTGTTTCAAATGTCTCAACAACTTAACTTTCCTGGAAGATGAAAACTTTGTCGAAAAGTTGTTAACTCGTCTGACTTATAATTGCACAAGAAGTCCACCAATCATCGATTAAAATCTCTTATGAAAAGAGAGAAAAGGCAGCTAATCCTACCTTGGGAAAAGTTACATCTGCGCAATTTGTTCCAGACCACCATTTCTGCATCGCGATTTCTCCCGTCATTCCTTTCGGTGGTGTTCCCTGATACGCCATCCAATCAACAGTCGCGAATGGATTAAAGTTCTTGCTCTTTCTCCCAGATTGCATTGCGCAAACTGTGAAATTCTTTGTATTGATGTTTTCAGTCCAAGAAGTAATGACGTCGTGAACAGTTTCAGAATCGTTTAGATTCATATGATTGACGGTTATCTGCACATGGACCGGTTTATCTGGATAAAAGCGGTATGGCGGAAAAGCGACCGTCTGACAGCTTGAATCGGACCACTTTGGAACACGAAGAAGTTCTACTCGACCATGCACAGTTGGGAAACCTGTTTAATGAATTGAAAAGTTAGTCATTCTTATCATTTGCCACTTGACAAATCTTATTTGATGTGAGTAACTAACCTGTACAAAGAATGTGAAGACAACTAGGATCTTCTATCTTTTATATCGTTAGATTTTAATTTATATTAGAAAGAACAACTGCCATCCATGTAAATCAGCGAACGAGCTATGAATATATCCATAATTTAATGTTACATTGCTGTGTGTCTTCTCGGGTTATACAGTTCACTTTCAAAATTTCAGTCTCCGACCCAGAGAGTCCCATTCAGGGAAAGTTGCCCAATTGGTTTCAAACTACAGAAACCGGAATCACATGCGCTAACACCGATAAACCAACCGTTTCTTGCGAAACCAGATTAGAACAGACACGTACGTACATTGTTCAATTTAACAGAAACCCTTTCTTACCCTCACAGCTTCCTGGGTGATACACAAGATTATTCTCCAGTCCTCTACAGTAGTACAGCTCATGCCAGCATTTGTTGTCGTATGTTGTTCCATTCGCGGTGCACACTGGGTCATGATAGGAAGGGCAGTCTTCGTAACACACACAGCGAGCTTCATGAGCGCTGAAAGTCTTACACACTCCAAATGA